AATTACAGAACTCATTATCTTTTTTAAGAAACCAGTTTTGTGCAAGCATGCAAGTTTAAAGTCAGTGCTTGTAAAGAACTTAGCAAAAATATGATGGGAATGGGATGCCAGGGGAATAGATGATTCTCTCATCTGAAATGCATAATTAGCTTTTGGTTAAGTGTGCAATTAACATTAAAATTTACAATCAAGTACGATGGTGTTCTAATTTTACCTCTTTTAAATGAAAGAATTAACTTAGTTACCAGTGTTACTTCTTTGAATCTCTTCCCTATGAGGCAAACTGCACAGTAACATCCTGTCATCCAGGCAACAACTGATACGAAAAGCTTTTAAAAACAATGCATATTTGCCTTCTGGATGGCTATGCAGCTTGGGTGTTATTTTGGTTTACACTTTTTTTGTTTTGTAATGGTAACTGCCACTCTGCATAATTAGCAGTTGTTATATTTCTGTTTGTAAAGATCCTTCCCACAAAAACAGAGTGATGTTGCTTTGCACCCTCTTCCCAGCTGTGTCTGAAAGCTGTAATGTGTTTCAGACATCCACTACAGCTATTCTCAATCCCTACAGGTTTCAGCAGTTAAGCCATGGAAACATTTTTGTTAATGGGGAAGAAAAAGCTATACTCATCCTAGCAGTTTAAATCTGATAAGCAGCACCTTAAAAGAAAAATGATACTGTGGTCTAAATATGCTGTCTCCATCTGAACATCACATCCTTTTTGCCTTTTAATGTGTAGATAAATTTAACCTCTATTTGCCTTTAAAAAAGGGGGTTGAAAGTAGTTTCAAATGTAATATCAGCTGCCAAACCCTGTATTTAATTATTTTTATTATTAATCACATACATGTTTATAGCATGTGCAACAAAAATGAGGCTCCACTGTGTAGGGTGCTGTACAGAAGTATAATGAAAGTGCAATGAAATTCCTCACACAAAGCACATATTGTGTGGCTTGCAAAGTGTTCTGGTGTGCAAGCGTTTTTGGCTAAATACTGCCAATGATTTTCCATCAGTAAATTTGTGTTACTATCCAAAGAGCTCATGAAATTAACCTAGACCGGGCCAGTGTGAAGGACCAGAGTTTGCCCCTCAGCAGTTAACCTCAATGCTACGTTGCTCAAGAGTTCTGCCATTATTACTACTTACCACCATTATTACTTACCACCAAGAGACACACAAGCGCACAGAAGAGAGGAAAAAAAAGAAATCTCACATTGCTCTCACCTAAAGCCAAAATCACTTTTACTCATTCACCCTGCTTCCATCTGGATCCAGACAAAGTGGCCCTCTCTAGCTGCTAGGCAACCTGAACTCTGCATTGAGTATTAACTGTATGCATTTGCTAAAAATATAATAAAGTTACCTTTGAGATTTATTTATAATAAAAAACCATACCTAGCTGAAAATATAATAGCTTTCCTTCAGTAATCAGTAATTAGCAACTCTTGAGAATACAAAACTGTTGGTCAAGAAAGAAATAATCCACATGGACACCCCACATGCAGAGAAATATTATAAATCATCTCCTTACAAATACATCGTAAGGAAGATGCTTTATATGAAAGTATTATTACAGATGGCAGTGGCATAAAAAATAAATCTAATCCAAGAATTACATTTATGTAGATATCAGAATATCTACAGAATATATTTACATAAGTCATATTTTAAATTAGAAATGTTTAAGTTACCAAATCTCATCCAATTACAAAATCAACTTTCTCAGTAAAGGTCGTTTATTCAATTTACAGAGAACCACCATTCCTAAACCAGACAGAAAAGACTTGAAATTAAAGCACAGTCAACTGATCTTGGAGTTCTTTAATGAAGAAACACACCCACACCCCCCACACCCATTATTTCACATAACGCCTCTCCAGACCATTTTACTGTTTCGTTCTCTAGCAGCAGAGCTATCGTTCTACCTTAAAAACACCATGAATGTCTTTGCTGTGTCCCATTCCTCTCAAACTCAAGAGATATTCCTTTCAAGTCTTTTCAAAGCAGATCATTTCCCAGACTGCTAGGTGACTAGCATAACTGATACGAATCTTATTAAAATATCAATTTGGGTGATTGAGGTGTTAATGTCAACAAAGCAAGAGGCCCACTAATGCCATCAAAACTGAAGAGAGCAGTGCTCTTTTTTGATCATTATACCTGGCAGGTTGTCAAATCCTGATTCACAAAATACGGACTTCCTCAAATTCAGCACAAACACAAAAGCTAGATCTGTTAAAAATGCTCATCAAATTCTACTGGAGATATTAACCACAAGATAGGTCAGAAAGACATTTACTGACAGCAACACGCTGTTAGCCTTTACATGCAGCTGCTTGGCACTTGAAGCGGTGTGCATTTCTCTTAGCTTTAAGAAAACCTAAGGAGCTGTTTGCAGCTGGGGTCCTACACCCAAATATTCTGCTCTTCTCTTCAACACAGGCCAAAGTCAGTGTAGAAAGTCCCAATGATCACTGACCTCTCTGGATCACAGCACAGCAGTAGTAACTTCCCCCCTGCCTTGAGATTTGTAGGGCACAAACCAAGGTTATTTGAGCATAGCCCTTGAGCACCTCCAGTCTACCACAGCTGCATACACTTAAGAAGAGCTCCACAAGCACCCATGAACTGAAAGAGACCTGGCTCCACAGAGCAGAGAACACGAGAGGTTCCTAGAAGTGCTCCTCTCTGGATTTTATAAAGACATTTGAAGTGGTTAATTTAAACACTTGTACCTTCTCCTTCTTCACTTAGTTTAATGTTAAACATGATTCAGGTAAGACTTAATATCAAGCTTAGGGGGAGCATAATTTAAAAAAAAAGAAAGTCAACATAACTGAAAACTTGTAAGTAAAAGCAAAGCGTTCAATGGAGCTGCAGGATCCCACTCTCACCAAAACTCAACAGCAGCTGTAAATCGTTTAAAAAAAGTAATTGGAAGACAGGTTGGTAAGAAAACTCCTCCTTCCTAAACATAGGAACATATAGTTTTGGTATGATAATGGCCCCCACTACTACTACAGGTACCCTGAAGAATACACTGAAATTACAAGTTTAGTCTCAGGACAGGCAGGAGGTAAACGAGTTCAAATACTGCGTTTTTTAGAGAGGTACGCCCTGAATGTTTTTGTTAAGGTCCTTAAATCACAACTCACATCAGGGATCCATGCAAGGAGCACAGAAGGAGAGAATAAAAGAACACGAGTCATTCTGGAACTGTCACACACTTACACGAACCTTTTCTTGAAAATAAATTTTAAATCAACAGTGTTGTTGGTAATTCCAATATTACAGGTCCTATAGATAGCACCCTCTGAGGAATCCACCTGACGTCTCTTCATAAGTCGTTTAAGGTTATTAAAGCCTTTTTCCCCCCAACGCCTTCAAACAGTTTTAAGATTATTGCTTAATTTATTTTAATCCCAGTATCTTTGCAAAAAAACCAAATGCTTTCTGTCTTGCTTTTACACAACTTATTAGAGAATTTCATGTTCCAAGATTAAGACAAACTGGATGGAAATCATCTTTAGTTGCTTAAGGGTCCTGAGGTACAAACATTCTTATTACCAAGATCCTAAATTAAATCAGTTTCATGTCAGGTCATGTACCTTAGTTTCAATGCCAGAATTTTGTAACAAAAGGATCTTGTATGAAATAATTTGTTGTATCTTGTACCCAGCAACACAAAAATAAAATGAATCATACTGTTGCAGTTAAAAAAAAAAAAATTCCTCATTTTAGATTCTCTTTTATTGCGACTATTCAAGATCATCACAATAAATTAAAAAAACCCCAATGCCATTACTATAATATTACATTTAAATGCCACAATTAAAGATTAATTATAAATCAAGTGTATATAGATCAATTAGAAGACTATGCTTGTAGCTGGGGCAGGATTTGGGTAGAAACGCTATACAGTTTCAACTCATCCTTAAGCCTGAACTTGAAGCTTAACTTGTGGAAGAAAGCACTAAGTAGACAGCTACTTTGAGTTAGTGAGCTAACTCATTTGAAATTGTTTAAGAGAATATTAGCCTTGTATCTTCTATTTGAGATCTTTTCTTATTATGCAAGGCAGAAGAGAAGAATCTTGCAAATGGGAATTCCAGCTGGAGCCCCCTGGTACTTTAAAACACAGCAATCTGAGCCTAGGTTTTTTAAACATGCTGAGTAACTCACTGGGACACAGAGGGTTTACGCACCATCAGGATAAATTGCATTCACACTGTAGGATTTAAGTCACTTGCCAGCAAGTAGAATAAAAGAAAACAGTTGCTTTCCATAAAAAGGAACATCATGAGCTACTGACACAATTGCAGCTCAGGAACATTTTTTTTTTTTAAAGTGGGCTAGGATGCTGTAATTCAAAAAGTCTGAAAAGGTCCCATGACTGGGTGTTTGAGCAGAGAGAGCCTCCAGCTTACCTGCACAACTTCTCTTTCCGTTTGATTTACCAAGAAGTTGTGTCAGCAGAAATGGTTTGAAGCATACCTCTGTCTTCCCCTCCTGAGGAATCCTGGATGGATGAACTGAGCTGGCTTGGCGCTGCTGAGCAGGCACATAAGTCGCAGGAAGATACAAGTATCTTATTTGGAGGACATAAGCTGACAGTAGAAACTATGCCTAGAGTTCACTCATTAAGCGCTCGCTGAATTTCTTCACCTATTAGTGCTCACTCACAAAGTGCTACTAAAGGGCTCTAGACCTGCTTTGGGTTTGTTGCAGTTTAATAGTACACTGAGACTCCCAAGAACGTAGAGCAGCTGCTTAAGACCATATCACAAGTCCCACCAGTTGAGTGAGACAGCAACACAAAGAGAGCTTACTCAGCTGTACTGCAGGGATACAAATGATACAGCCACACAAAAAACAACTTATGAACTATCAAAATCTACATTCATTCAAAAACCTACTTCCAAACAAGCTTACCGTTATTTCTTACCGTTGTATCTTTGCTGGGATAAAGCATTTTTGAAAATGTTGGCACTTACCCAAATCTGCAGTTTCACCCGCTTGTCATTCCTATAAACTGTTTTTACTTTGAAGTCAATTCCTACTGTGCTAACGAAGGCTGGTGTGAAAGTGTCATCAGCGTATCTGAAGAGGAAGGATGTTTTGCCCACGCTGCTGTTGCCAATGATCAGGAGTTTGAACATGTAATCAAAATTTTGATCTGAAGTATCTTTCTGCCTGTATCTGGCATCTGTTACTGAAGCCATCTAAGAAAATGACAAACATTGAAAAAGAACAGATTTAGGAACAGTTCAGCATTTGTTTTCCGTAACTGTGTACCATATGTTTAGCTTATCTCTCTTCTTTCTAATATCATAACCACTATATCTGCTGAATAAAGAGGAACACATCTTGAAATCTTCTTTTAAATCCTGGCTTTAAATTTCTATTATCCACTTATACTGGTAAGATTTCCAAACCCAAGAAATGCACCTGTTGCACAACTTTGCATTTGAAAGAATAACAGATGGCTATTGCAGATTGTTCAAATACTAGTGGGGAAACAGCATTCTTTACTCCTGTGGCAGGATGCCACTTCTGTTGCTCCAAAAAACTGGAGTACTGCAACCAAGAACTAAAATCTTTGACAGTGCATCCAACTATGCAATTCATTAAGCAGCCTCCAAAGCAGGTAAACCTAAATAATTCCTTTTATGACTGCTAGGGAAAAAATCTGCTTTTCTAGCACATGCAACACCATTATTTTATCCTTAGAAAAGTCCTGTCCTCAACATTTACTGAAGGGGGGGGAAAGCAATGGGAGAAGATGAAACACCAGGAATTTCAGCCAAAAAATTTCAATCCATCCAACACCTATCTACTCTCAAGACTGCAATTAAAATACACAGCACCTGCATAAAACATGGCTCAGTGGGGCTGCAGGCAGCATTTGGAATGAATAAATTATCACTTTTTATTATGGGGACGTGAGAGTTGGGGACGTTAGTGGGGTGGGGAGGGGGGAAAATGCAGCCTCAGAGATCCTTCCTTCTCTTGTGACCCTGAACTGGATTCAGAAACCAAAAAACAACCACAGAATCTGAAACATCAAGACAGGTGGAACTCACTGAACAGCCCTGGCTGCTTTAACGTACACAGCTCAGACACTTCATGGGAGAAGGCAAGGCCCTGACTTTTCATCTCTGTTTGTACAGAGCAGAAGACAACTACACAGGCCAAATTACTCCAGAGGAGAAAAAAAAAAAAGGAAACTTTATCTTTTAACAGATATATCGCACTTTTAATCTCTAATGCTGTTTCAAGATCTACACCACATCAAACAAGCAAAGGTCTAGGCTCCCCCACCTCCTCCTATAACTAGTCAGGGGGTTGTGCAAACTGGGGCAATGATAGCATGGGTCTCAGCAGCAGCTACTCATCCAAACTCAGACATGTGCTGCTTTTGTGCAGTGTCAGAAAGCACTGAGTGGAGACCAAAGTCTCTTCTTCCCCTGGCAGCCAAAGAAATAAGTTAATTTTCCCCTCAACTCAGATTTGTGGGCATCTTTGGGAACAAAACTCCCACCAATGTCTACTCTTACCATGTGCCTAAATACTTTCCTTCTTAGCAAGTCTCACCTGCATGCAGGACTTCACTCACTCACTGAAAAAACAAAACAAGCAGTTTGAAACTCACTGTAGTTAAACAGCTATAAACCAAAATGCTGTCCAAAAGTAATTTAAATTGAGACGACAATTTAACTTAAATTCCCAACAGAGGGAAAAGAAACCAAAACCAACCCAGCGTAAACTTCAGTAAAATATCCATGAGTTTATCTCTGACTAAACACACGCAACTTTCTCACACAGAAAAGGGCTGGTGCAGCAGACATTTCGTTCACAGACTGCATTAACAAGGACAGTTTCTGAAGAACTTTATCCGTAGCTCAATAGTCAGCAGCTGCACTGAATGCAGTAAAACCTTCCCACAAGTGATTCTCCATAGGATACAACACAATTCTGATACATACTCTTATGAACTTTAGCTGCTATTCCATAAGACTACAGTCCTTTGCAAGCACTCCAGAAAACCCAAGTAAAAATTTTCTTCTCACCAGTGTATCAGAAAAGGGCTTGCCTACTCATTCCTTGTGGTTCTTAACAGGAATTTCTAAAATGAAGAATTAAACATCCAACGGACTTAGACACACACACTCTAGGCCAATGCACTCACTGCCTCAGTTCAAACATTAGAAATCTCAGCTGCAAAAATTACGAATCCAAACGATTAGTTGATTTGTACCATTACCAAGCTGGAAGACAGTAAGTTGTTCTCTATTTGAGTAATTTATCTTCCTCATACACATTTATAACTTCCACAAATGCTCCTCAGAACACATGTGCACTTACTAAAGAAAAAAAACAATTAAAAATCTCTACTTCACCATTCCACTCACAGAGACTTGAAAAAAGTGAGATGCCCTCATCGCTTGAAGCCTGGTCATTTAAAGATTCAGAGGTAGACCTTTAACAAAAAAGTAGCCCACTAATCATACAGGAATCGATATCTTCTTTCCACCCCTGCCTTTGCAGAATCCATCCACACACTCCAAGCTCATCTGTTAAATGAAACACTGCTGCTTCTATTAAACCCCTTAAATTGCTATAATCAAAACTGTACCTGGCTACAAATGCAACTTTCAGATCTCAGTTAAAAAAGCAATTACAGAATGTGGCCAGCTAGAGCAGCTTTGTTAGAAGCACAATGCAGAAACTAAGATCAAATGATACTTGCACAGAACACGGGGCTGTTGTCATAGAAGCACAACACTCGCTGGCCTGTGCGTGCCACTATGCTACACTGAAGATGCTGCAGGCCGGCTCCTTGAATTATTAGAGGCAGCACCAGAGCATCAAAACGTCAAAGAAAATTCCACCCCCTTTCTTAAATTTGACTTTTCCCTTTCCCCTCCTCTGGTCAATAGAGTGAAACTGAAAGGACTTCCGTACTAATTACTGATTACTACTCTCATTGCAGATCATTACTGAAGCAGTACTCTGAAAGCATTCACAGGGCTGCCCCTGAATTTGTGCTTGAATCCTGAAGCCAGGAACCAGCAGACCTTTCTCCCAATTCTCCTTCCTTCCCTTCCTCTTTCCCACTTGTTGTCCCACCCCTGCTCCAAGTGCTCCCTAGTTATGCCAGTCCTGAGGACCCTGCAGAGAGCTGGTTCAGAGAACAGAGAGATCCCAGTTAAAAATAAATCCTCCCACAACTTCTCCTGTTTTGCACGGCTGTTTTCAAAGTTGGTTTAGTTCCTGATCCAGCACGGCTGAGGGAGCCAAGCGGCAGGGACCGAGCGGTGGGAAGCGATGGCAGTTGCTATGCTACTGAGAAAGGTCCATGAAATCACATCTCCTGCAGGCCCTCCGCACCCGGCAGAGATTCAGCATCAGCAGCGGCGGGAAAAGGTGACAACGACCCCGTGTCAGGCAGCTCCTGTCCAACTCATCAGAACAGCTCACACAGCCATCGCTCCCAGAGGATTTTATTCCCTCCTTGCTGAAAGGACATTTAGTCGGCAGTTAACCCCCTGCTCTCTGGGTACACAACTACATACGCTCTTTGCTTAGGATGACTCCAAATAATAGCAGCAACTCTGCTGTTCTACAAGCACGTGCAGACTAATCAGGGTTTTGTTACGGAAGACCAAGTCAAATACGACTGGCACACAGAGTACAAAAGAGAGGCTCATGACTGTTTCCGTTTTGACTGCCTTGGAATAATCTTCAAGAAATTACCTATACAGGAAAGATTTAGCTACATTACAGAAAACCTATTACACAGGAGAAGAAAAAGCTGCCAATCAGATTGTCCTTGAGAACACTTTGGTATGAGACCTTGCATCTTTTAGTTCTTTACCTGGGTATCCCACTTCTTTGTAGCTAAGAGCATACTAATATTGACAACCTGTTTTCCCCATATGCTTTAGCAATGGGAACAAGGTCTCAAACACATCCACTTCCAGCTAGTTTTGCAAGAATAGGCAGTTTATGTAGCTATGAGATACCTTATTATTTCCCTGTTGAGGAAAAAGCCTGCAGTGTGAGCTTGTCTTTTATTAGACAGAGAAACCACATAGGAGGAGGATGCTACAAACGCTCTAAAGCAATAAAATCTTAATCAGAGCTTATTAGCCACCAAAGAATATGTTCCTCAGTCAAGGTGTCTCTCCTGCCTTTATTTTCTATTTTGGTCCAATGAAGTTTAAAAAAAAGAAGCCTATCACCATAAGACACCTCCACGGGAAACCAGATTTCACTGCTTTTAGTACTCACTGAAATGTCATATAGATTGCTCCACACAGCTGTGCTCTTTAATCTGTGACCAGCATCATGGTGAAGAATCAAACTGTTTTGTAGTGCAACACAAACCATCAGAGTGTTACTGCTCTTACACATCATAAAAGTGGTCACGGCTGCCCAGTTCTGCAGTATTTACTGCCTACAGCCAACTTCAGTGAAAAGCAGTTCATTAACTGTCTAAAGCTGATGGTGTTGCCTAGAAATCAACTAGTATATCTTGCCATCCATTTATTTCCAGAAAAAAAGTAATGTTGAATTCAAGTGTTTCTAGCCTTTATCAGTTCGGCTACAAACTAATGGAGGACTGTTCTTCTTTACCCACTCACAGACAAGAAACAAGAAATCTGATCATTACCTTGGAAGTTTATTAGCAACCACATGGGTCTGTTCACAGACACAGCCATTTCCACATCCCACTCTCTCTCATGACATTGCGAGGAAGAAGTCTGAATAGGCTTTGGAAAAGGGTCTCCTTGTCTGCTGTCAGTCACCTCAGTTAGCCATGAAATGTGGTCACACGGATGGAACTTATACTTCAAACTACACATGAAGACATACCTGCAATTTCAACTTGTTACGAACCTCTGTATTCTGTATGTTACAAGTTCTGTGCATTTCTAACAGTAAAAACATCTCTTTTCCTATTTGTCACTGCTTTATTTGTAAAGCCAAACCTGAAATTTACTAGATAGTTTTGTGTTACATAGGACCAGTGTCAATTTAATTGTGACTGTTTAACCATTTCATCATCATCCACTAGCACACACACATTTCTTTTACTAGGCAGATGAAAAGATGGGGGTGAAACCACCCCTCTGTATTGCTAAGTGTCAAAGATCTTACGACAGCATGCTACTCCAGGCTGGGTCCAGCCTCGTTTTATGTGTGTTCAGCAACTGAG